AGTAGCAATTCGGCTTTTGCATCCTGTCAGTATTAGCAGACATTGCTTATACTGCTAGACGGACAAAAAGGTTACATTCTGTTCACTTTATTTGCTAACCATTCTGACGAATAGACTGTATCTATTTTTGTTCACACAGTCATCAGATACTTCTTTGCGAATATATCAAGTGAACAGCCTTGAAGCAATCCATGGGTATAGTGACCCCTAGTGGTCAATTATCAATATTACATTTCTGGCAGAACAATTTTTGTAATATGCCAATATTTTCACTTTTGTGCTATTACTACTAGCCACTTATTAGATAACATCTACACTGAGGCAATTCGCCCATTTGCTTTTAGTGGGGTTTTGGAGATAACCTCTCTCCTTTCTACTCCAAACCCTACCACTACTAGAGTGTATGCAGACTCTGGAACCTGTACATATATTTCTTTATCCTCACTCACTAGTATAACCAATTTTTGTTAAATGTTTCCTCACAATCCCCTTTTCTCCCTCTATATACGCCCTCAGCACCTATAGGTGGTCCTTTGGACATGTCTAATTTTGGACACCCACGAGAATCACATTAGATCAAGAGAGGCAGTCTATTTAGGAACGTCTTTTGTATAATACTAATAAAGTATCTTCTAGATTTTTATCAAAGGGACAGAATCTCTTTCTTTTGAATTTCTACTATTTAGGGTTACCCCCTTATTTTCTGTCTGTCATATGAAGATAATCTCGTTGCCATTTTCTTCTTCTTTCTTCTTAAGGTCAACGATCAACCTTTGCTTTTTATTATTTTATTATTTATATAGCGCCATCAGATTCCGTAGCGCTGTTAGAGGATTTACTTGTAACCATACCTAAAGGGTTAGTTCTCCATACTGAAAAGGGAGGAGAGTCGAATGGGCCTAGTAAAAACCCCTGATCTATTTCCTTCTGGAGCAGTATATTAATGGTGTCAGCGTCTGACAGAGCCGTCTGCAATTTTTTACATTCAAGGATACCCGTTGGCATATAAATGATACCCGTGTAAAACCCTATTGTGGACCCAGACACCAAAAAATATACAAGATGTTGTGAGGGGTGATTACCCAATAATTCTTGTAGCAGAGACATTGAGAGACGACAGGTAAGGCTTAGGGTACAATTTATTTGGACACACTGTCTTAGAGTGAGCCCTGAAATAATTTTTTTTGTATAGTCTGCAGGCGCTGTACCCGCAAGTGCCAGCATTGAAATTGTTGCAGACTTGAGATTTTCCCCAAAACACTATATTGCGTCCCAACTTGTCTTTAAGAACCCTGTCTGGTTTCTTGTGGGTATCGGGTTGATAGTGGGGTGGAAGGTATTTACTTCAGGGGAGTTAGGGCATAAATTAGCCGTGTGTGAGTTAGCAGAACAGATAGCACAAGCTGGTGTCTTCAGGCCCGCAAAGTGTCTACAAAAAAGTTCAGTATCCAGTATGCTTCAGTCAGCTTGATAATTTAACTCGGATAGTGATGCAGATTACTTTGCGGAGAAAGCAGAGTGGTAGTCGAAAAAAGACGTGCCACCGTACTTGTACCCTAAGTCCTCCAGCTTGTGGAGGTAAAGATCTAACTCTTCCCTCATGTAGATCCCGAAGGCCAAAACAAATTCAGGTATAGACAGTTTAACGTTTAGCCTGGAGTCCCTGGATTTCAACACAACAGAGACGTCACCGTATGCATATGTTTTGTTTTTAATCATCTTGGGAGGCAATGAGCAGCAAGACCAAATTTACATCTTTCCCCTCCAAGATGTCCTTTTTAATGTTTGCCGGTACCATGTTGTGACAAACTGCCCTTTGTCACTGGCTTCCTATGTGACAAACTTCCCTTTGCCCCTGGCTTTTGGAGGAGCCTGATTACCAGCCTCCTGCCTTATGACAATGGCCCTGGGGTGTATGGCCCTTTAAAAAACATTATATGGGCATATTGAGACTTTTAGGGACAGTGCCCTTTTAAAACTGTGTCCCCAGACTGTGAAAATACTTTTTTTCATGTCCTTTTCCTATATGGTTCGGTAATTGGGGCTTACCGAACAGGCGGACCACACAAAAGTGGAGTGTGCAGCCAATTTACCTCCCAGGCTGGTGGTTAACCGCAAGTTGTTGAATGCTGGGTGGCCGCCGTTCGTATAGTCGAACACGGGGCGGCCATCTTGTTTAGTCAAATGTGGTCAGCGGTGTTTTGCCGTCGAACTCATGGAACTGAAAACGGCTACACGACAGCACGAACACGGCTGAACCTTACCTTCTTTTCCACTTCAACAGAAATCAAAATGCGTTCGACTATTTGAACGCCACATTAAACTGGGCTATTTGCACAAACGGGTCCTGTTAATGCATTCAAATGGAACTTAGTCTCTTTTTCTTTTTAAAAGAGACCGACCACACCGCCCAAATCTATGGAACTTGGTCAAATAGCACTTCCATCTATCTTCAGAACCACTGGACCAAATTCTATGATTTTTGAATATGTTTGTATACTCATTATGCTGGTTCAGAATATGTATAATATGGAAATTGTATGTATAGTTTTGAAGTTATGAATATTAGGTAAAACTGTATATTTTCCTGCTAGCCCATTGTGTTCAGTAATTATATCACAGGCAGAGGGGAGGATTTTGCTGTAATGAATGGGAGTGTTTAACTGTGTGTCTGTTTATGATTGGTTGTTACGTCTATGTTGTCAGTATCCAACAAGGTCCACGTGGGTGGTAACCTTGTTGGAAAATGTGTATATAAGAGCAATAAAGCCTCAGTGTTCCTGTTTGACCCTGAACACGTAGTCTCGTCTCGTGATTGGAGGGGAACTGCTATAATCACACTGGGGATTGCTATACTTTGTATATTCCCTTGAGCTCTAATCACTTAGCTCTTTTAAGAGCTGTTCCTGATATGCTCTCCTAGAGGAGAGGTCTTTTCCACACGGTCCTGGATGACAGAAGCTGATCCAGGGTGGAAGGAAGACGGAGAGTTGAAGCGGGAAGGGAGACCTGCTGAGTCTCCGAGGAGTCAGAACAGCGTGGCAGCCGACCAGGAGCTGCAGGACCAGGTAAGTGTTTCCACAAGTTTGCAGGATAGAAAATGGAGATTTGCCCGGACCAGAAGTTAGGGTATGCAAATCGCCAGACCTGAGACGGTAGTGAGGAGGGGCTGGTGCTCCTTAAGAAGGGAACCAGGCACCTCCCACAACTTCAGGCCCAGCCTTCCTTAAAACAAGTGTTAAAAAAAAAAAAAAAAGCATAACCTTTCATGCAAATAAAGATATATATATATATATATATAATCTTTATTTGCATGAAAGGTTATGCTTTTTTTAACACTTGTTTTGTTAGCTAACAAGTTGGACTATGATATGTTTTAGGATTTTTTCCCACATGTATTTATGTATATTTGAGTTTTATGTGGATATATCTGTTGCCTCTCTATTAATAAGTATACATATTGTTTTAATACTGTTTAGTGCACCCTCCACTTTCTTGTCTTGTATATGTGTGATAGACCAAATGAGGGACATAACTATATCTAGCTGCAGCATAGCCAAATGAGGGCCTAATGAAAAGTTATGGGTGAATGATACAATTAAATGGGGTATAATGAATGCTGAATATAATGGAGTAGACAGGTTGCAATTTATTTTGTTTATTGGTAACACCCAAGTGGTTGACCTGGTTTGTGGCATGTGTTGATTTAAAGTGTGACAATAACATACTTAGATGAGGGACGTGTATATAGCCGTATAGCCATATAACAGTCATAATTGTAACCAACATAATTTCAAAGAACACTTGATTTGGCCTGTGTGGCTCCCAGAAAGGACTTAAAACCATGTAAGTAGTGACTAACAGTGAAATAAGTCAGATTAACAGGCAGGACTATAAACGCTAACCACATGTATAGATTTCCTATTTTATTACTTGCATCCATCAAAGATAAAAAGAAACAAGGTGTTGCCATTATCTTTGCTCAAAAAAATCTGATCCAGAAGGTAGATTCCCAATTATTTGTAAATTGAATGAGATTAAATATACATTGGTTAATGTGTGTCTGCCAAATCATTTCCGGTGGTGACACTAAAAACAATTTTGGATCATATAGAATAGTTAAAAAACTGAATATAAGGGGGTAAGTTTGCTAGCTAACTTGATCAGACGCCATTTCCATCATCTCCTCAGCACAAGTTTTAATATTGATGATATCTGCCGTATATCTAATCCAGCTTTCTAAACTATTAACTGATTTAGGGTTGGATACATTGGGCAATTCTGTCTTTGTATTGTCTTTCTGATGGAACAGAAGGCCCAAATATTTGTGCTGATTGGTTTAACTTGCATAATGAAAAATAGATGGGGCTGCCAGCTGTCACAATCCTGTTTATCATAACAATGGAGATAAGAGATTAATATTATAAGAAATCCTTTCATAAAAGGCTTCTCCACAAAACAAAGATCTAAAATTGAATCCATGTGCACATGACTTGATCATGGCCATAACTGACCCTCTCACCAACGTGACCAAATCAATTCTTAGACATTTATTTAGATAAAGTTAGTAGTGTCCTATTTAAAAACAGGTATAACATACCCTTCCATTCCTCGGTATCAACCTAACTAGGGATGTAGCTGACATAAAGCAGACACATTTTTAAGTCACCTTAGAGCATTGTATGGCTCACTGAGTTAATGCAGGCATGTTGAAATTACTGGGTGGAAGGGGGAAATGAACTTGATTATTGCCTATTACCTAAATGGGCCTATTTGTTTTGAATGCTCCCAATAAACATTTTATATTATATGATATATATATATATATATATATATATATATATTATAAAATGTTTTCCTGGCACTATAGTGGTCCTTTAAGTATCCTTAATTCCACATCTCACTTTCCAAATAGTAAAAACCTTCATCCTTTGCACTTTCTAATTTAGTCCTGTATATATTACAAATTAAATTGGGATAATAAGTGTTTATAATATTAAGGATCCCAGCCCCCATATCTAATTTTCTGTGTGTATGTATGTATTATATATATATATATATATATATATATATATATATATATATATATATATACACATACACACACAGAAAATTAGATATGGGGGCTGGGATCCTTAATATTATAAACACTTATTATGCCAATTTAATTTGTAAAATATACAGGACTAAATTAGAAAGTGCAAAGGATGAAGGTTTTTACTATTTGGAAAGTGAGATGTGGAATTAAGGATACTTAAAGGACCACTATAGTGCCAGGAAAACACTCGTTTTCCTGACACTATAGTGCCCTGATGGTGCCCCCACCCTCAGGGTCCCACTCCCGTGGGGCTGAGGGGGGAGGAAGGGGTTAATCCCTTACCTTTTTTCCAGCGTCGGGACTCTCCTCCCTCTTCTTCCGTCATCGGCTGAATGCGAATGCGCGGCAAGAGCTGCGCGCGCATTCAGCCAGTCCATAGGAAAGCATTCTCAATGCTTTCCTATGGACGCTTGCGTCTTCTCACTGTGAAAATCAATGAGACAGCCACTAGAGGCTGGATTAACCCGAAGATAAACATAGCAGTTTCTCTGAAACTGCTATGTTTACAGTAAAAAGGGTTAACCCTAGTTGGACCTGGCACCCATACCACTTCATTAAGCTGAATTGGTCTGGGTGCCTATAGTGGTCCTTTAAGTATGGACCCCCAGAGAACGTTTGGGAGCACTGACCACCAGATAATATCTGCCAGAAAATATGTCTTGACTTATTATGAGAAGGTTGGAAGAGGGTTACATGGAAGTGTGGAATAGAAAATAAATTCCCTATAAATGTTAAATTATCATGTATACTATTTTATGTAAACGATTCAACTTTAAGTAAGTGGATTCAAAAAGGTATATCAAATAATGGTAAATGATAACATGAAACAAATTTCCACAATTGGTCCATGAATTAAATTTACCTAATAAAGAATTGTGGATGTATATAAGACTAAAGAATTTTATAACAGAATAGTATTTGTAATTTGACAGATGGCACCAAGGATATATGTTCATTGTTCTAAAAAAAAAAACTTTATTGAATTTGTTCTGCTGAGTAGAATTATTACCTTGTGAATTAAAAGCAATATTGCAGTGCTTTGGTGTCATGATTTATTTAACGAATATAAACAAAAAATGGAGAAGCCATGTGTGAAAAACTAAGTACACCTTTTGATTCAATAGCTTGTAGAACCACCTGCAGCAGCAATAACTTCAAGTAATCATTTTCTATATGACTATCAGACTCTCACATTGTAGTGCATGAATTTTGGCCCACTCGTCTTACAACGTTGCTTCAGTTCATTGAGGTTTGCTGGCATTTGCTTATACATGGCTCTTTTAAGGTCCTGCCACAACATTTCAGTCAGTTTGAGGTCTGGACGTTGACCTGGTCATTGCAACACCTTGATTCTTTTCTTTTTCAGCCATTCTGTTCTTGGGATTATTGTCCTGTTCCATGACCCAATTTGGCCAAGCTGACAAATGGCCTCACATTTGACTCTAGAATACTTTGGTATTCAGAGGGGTTCATGGTCGAATCAATGACTGCAAGGATCCCAGGTCCTGTGAAGGCAAAACAAGCCCAATCATCACCCCTCCACCATCATGCCTGACAGTTTGTATGAGCTGTTTGTGCTAATATTCTGTTTGTTTGTTTTTTGCCAAACAAGGCATTGTTGCATTATGGCCAAACATCTCCACTTTGGTCCCGGCTGCCATGTTCTTTATAGAGGGAAGAGCCTTTCTCCTGGCAACCCTTCCAAACAAACCATAGTTGACCATCAGTCTTTTTCTAATTGTACTGTCATGGGCTTTAACCTTTAACATGCTAACTGAGGCCTGTAGAGACTGAGATGTAACAGTCTTGAGGTGAATTTCCTGGGATGTCCACTCCTGGGAAGATTGGCAACTGTCTTGAGTGTTTTTCACTTTTTAGTTATCTTTCTCACTGTATAATGATGGACTTTAAATTGTCTTATAACCCTTCCCAGTTTGATAGGCATCAAGGATTGTTTCTCTTTGCTGATGTCTTTCCTCCCTGACTTTGTGTTAACACACATACACAAAAACAAGTCCTGCGCTCAGAGCTCAGACTCCAACTACTCTTGGGCGGCAGCAATGACCATAGTACACAAAAGGCCCAAAACATACAGTAAAAAACAAAGAAAAAAAAGTTACATGTACTCTTCCCAAATCTCTATGCATATTTAAATAAATGGAACTTATTTATTTGGGAAGAGCGCAGGTAACTTTATTCCTTTGGTTTTTACTGTATGTATTGGGGCTGTTGTCTACTATGGTCATTGCTGCCACCCAAGTGTAGTAGGAGTTTGAGCGCAGGACTTGTTTTTGTGTATTTGTATTCATTTTTGTGTCACACAGCTATGTTACAACGCTGCCACCCACACCATGTTTTCCCTATTAAGGGTTAATACGTATGTAGGGGTTTAGAAAAAAAAACCCTCTCTGTCTCAGAGATATCTTTGACTGAAGCTCAAGAAAGCAGGGTGAATGGTATGTGTAGGACCCACCTAAGAGATTTGCCCTGACGTGGCAGGTGGGCTTCCATGTAATGGCCATTGGAGTTACTAAATAACCTGCATTTATTTAAATATGCATAGGGATTTGAGAAGAGTGCAGTCAACCTTTTTCCTTTAGTTTTTACTGTTTGTGTTAACACACACCTGAATGCTCCAGACCAGTAAACTGCTAAAACTTAGCCTTTTATAGAGGTGGTCACATTTGCTGATAATCAATTGATTAAGGGCATTTTATTAGCAGCACATGTCTTTTACTTAGCCTTTAAATTCCTATGAAGGCCATAAGGGTTACTTAAAGCGGCACTGTCATGCGGAACTTACCTTTCTTTAATCGATTCCACTTCTCTCCCTCTGTCAGGATCTGTTCTTCATTTCTTCCTGTCTGCTCTAGTTTTCTTTAAAACATAGGACAAAGTAGGGACTACTGGTCTTATGGGGGTCTCCTACGCCTGACCATCTCTGACCAGCGGAGGAGCAAAGTGTGCTTCGTTTTCGGTGGTCAGAGAAATTTTCCCATAATTCTTACCTTTCCTCCGTGTTCCCGCAATGCTTCCTTTCACTTTTCCTGAACGTCCTGTCATTTAGACGGAACACCGGCGAAACCAACAAATTTCTTCCTAACAGAATAAGAACATAATTGAAACTCCGATCCTATTTGTGCCGCGGCTGCATCTTGCAGCCGCTTAGTAGATAACTCCCTAATTCCCAAGGTATTAGGGAGCTATCTACCAAAAGGCTGAAAGACCTAAATTGGTCTTTCAGCCACATTTACTAATACTAAATATAATTTTACTGTGTGTTATTTTACACAGCGTGGGAAAGTTCCAAAGAACTTTCCCACGCTGTGTTAAATTACTAGTACTCTGATTGGTTGAATTCCAAGTCAACCCATCAGAGTGTTCTGAGTCAAATTGCAGGGCGTGGGAAGGCTTTATAAGCCTTTCCCCGACCTGAGGAGCTCAGTCTGCGCCGTGCCCTCGTTGAGTGAAGATGGATTAATTTTTTAGCGCCTGGGTTTTTTGGTTTATTTTTATTTTTATGCGCCTGGGTTTTTTATTTTATTTTTTACAAGTTCAGCGGATATTATGGTTTTTATTTGGCCTTTTTTGGGGCTGAAAAATCAAATGACATCAAATGGTAATTTTTTTTTTATTTTTTTTACAGGCACTTAGTTCTTTTATTCTCCCCTCACTATTTTTATGGTGAGGGGGGTAAGTAGGGGTTTAATAATTTTTCTTTTGGGCGGGGGGGGGTTAATTAGGGGCCCCTTGTCACCATTGCTATTTAGGGCCGCCGCTCAGGGGTCGTCCCACCATACTCCCCCCATACTCATTTAAAGCCCCCACCCACCGCACAGGGGTTGGGGCCAGGGATAGGTCCCCCCTCATTGTTTTAATGGCCCCCACCCGCCGCTCACGGGTCAGGGCCGGGGGGAGGACAATAGGTCCCCCCCATACTCATTTAGGGTCCCCCCCGCCGCTCAGGGGTTGGGACCAAGGGGAGGACAATAGGTGTCCTCCCCTCACTGTTTTTATGGCCCCCACCCACCGCTCAGGGGGCCCAAGGGGGAGGACAATAGGTCTGTTCATTATCTTATATTAGATTTCAGCTAAATTAAGTCAATGTATGTTCTTTAAAACAATAGCTATTGATCTTTTTCCACTCTTCATAATTTATGTTCGTATGTATATCTTTTTCCCATTTATTTATTGTAGGGCAAATAAGATTTTCAGGTTCTCTTTCATATAGATCGAGGCATCTAGATATAATTTTTTTATGGCATTTCTATTTCTTACTACTTTACTTCTCTATTTGATTTATCATTGAGTAAATGCTCATTAAGATAACCGTTTACTCTTATAAATGTAAAGATCTCTTTGCTCTCAATGTTATATTCCTTACTAAGAGTGTTAAAATCTTTAATTTTGACAGTCTCTACTATGTTACCAATTTCATTTATCTCCAGATTGATCCATTACTGTATATTAAAATCCGTCATATTGCGATTTAATTGATTTAAAGGAAGACTAGCATTAATTTTATCATGTACCTCTAGATCCTTTCTAAGCTTGTTCCATATGGTTATTATATTATTTAATATTAGACTATTAGATTCAAACCTATAACGATATTTGTATTTGTTATCAGCTTTCCAAAGTATGGTGCTCAACTCCTCCTTTTTTTTTTTCTTCATTATATAAATTTTGCTATATTTTATACCAGGTTTGGTTCTTTGCAGTATCCGATTGAGTTATAATTGCCTGTGCAATATTATATGCTTTCCATATTTGTTGTAACTGTGGAATTCCTAGACCCCCTAATTTGATCTTTAATGCCAATCGATCGGAACATATCAGTGGGCGTTTCCCTGCCCAGATAAATAAAAAAAAAAAAAAAAATCGATTTAACCAAAGTCAGCCAACTTTCTGGGTAATATAGAGGCACCATGCAGAAGAGATCAATCCACTTTGGGTATATATGACTTTTTCATGTTAATCCATGACGCCTCAACTCCCTTCCATTTTTTTAATGTTTTACTTATATATTTTAACAGG